TAGTGCGTTGGCGAATTTTCTTAAGGCCAGACGTCTGTATCTTAGGGCATACAAAAGATCGCCAATGTTATTTATGCCTGTCCAGTTCTTTATGTTACGTAGCTACGATATTTGTTTGCGACCTACTCCTCTCTTGCCTTTAATCTTTTCCTGTATGATTAGTTGAAGGATTGCATATTTTATTCCTTTTAGAACATGGACAAGGTATCAAATTTTCGTACTTTGATCAAATTTAGTAGTTCTCTTTCAGTATTTACCTTTCTTAAGACTTCCTCGTTTCTCACCCTATATGTCCATGGTATACGGAACATTATTCACAACGTCCACATTTCAAAGGCCTCCAACTTATTAATGGAAGGTACTCTTAACGTCCATGTTTTCATGCAGTATAAGAATATGAACCATACAGAGCATTTAACCATCCTGTAGCGGAGATTGAAGGAAAACCATACTGGTAGCCTTTACTAATAATAGGACTGAATCTAACCTAACCTAAGCTTACCTAACCGAACTGGTAGCCTCTACTAATCATAGGAATCTTACTGGACGGACTGAGCAGAAATTATTTGTAGAGAAATTAGAGAAAATTAATGTGGTTGAATATGTAGGGGTAACGCTCAATTGTAACACCTATATTAACAATATAATGAACAGGGCTACGCGACTTCTGGAAGTGCAGACGAGTTGTAGGTCGATTACATACATCAATGATATTACAGTTACATATAGTTCACTACTTTGGTGAAAAAAGACATCTTAATTATATTATGTGACTTCTCTTACCATCCTACAAAAATCATGCGCTGCTAAATATGACAAGACCTTTGAATAATACAGGATTGACATCTTTAGAGGCTATCATAGTTCTCTCCCAGCTGGAATTAAATATTTCAGCGGTAGCCTTTATGAGTATCCTAAAAATTAAAACAACATTGAAGCCTAAATTATGTATTTAATAGTTGAAAGATACAACTTAAACCATACTTGAGGACTCCATCTTTCGGATAAATTCAGATGGTATCAGAACACCTTCATCAAAAAGATTAGGTAAATTTTACCATCTAGAAAGCAAAAAGTCGTAAATATTATTGGGGTAGTAATATGATTTATATGATTTATATCGTAAAGTATTAAAAATATTTAAAAAACGACGGATTGATAGAATTGCAAATAAAGAAGTACTAAAGAGAGTTGGTAAAGAAACAGAACTAATCACCACTATAAAAACAAGAATTCTGGAATACCTAAACTACGTGATGAGAGTACCAAAATATGAAGTGTTAGACTCATAATACAGGGAAAAATTCAAGTAAAAAGATCTGTTGACCAAAGGCTGAATTCTTGGTTGAAATATTTATGTGATTGGTATTTATGCATATCGATTGATTTGTTTAGAGCAGCAAGTTTAACAACATAAAGAACCATTGTGATTGCCAACTTCCGTAGGTAGACGGCATTCTACGAAGAAGAAAATATGGTTTACTGAAGAATCTTAAACTGCCTTTTATACTAAATTATAAGTATTTTGACAAAAATTTAAGTATGGCAAACCAATAATTATACGCAATCAAATTTGCCACAATCGTCAAAACAAGGTAAGTTGCAAAATTTTCACAATGCGTATTAATAAAAACAGCAAACCAAATTAAATTTAATAATTAAATCTACTTTTTTTTAAATATTGTCATTATACGACAATTTACAAATTTAAACCTCCAAAATTTGCTCAGATTTTAAAATTTTTTGAGTGTGTACAGTATACATAAACAAACAAAAACAATTCGTTTATAAGTGTAAAACGAGTGGATTTTGGTTCATATTCTCACATCTGTATTTTATGTGTATGTTGGACAAACTCGCTTTCCATTTAAAAGGGTTTGTTAACAATTATAACGCGAGAAATTGGATAGGGTAAAATTCTTATATTTTACATGAATGGTGTTGAAATGTCAGGGTACATGTATCGTTTACTGTTAACAAAATGTTGTTTTAGAGACAATTTATTTTTCTGATAAAGTTTTTAATAGGAAATTGATCTAATAGTTTATGCTTGGTTCAAAATAATTGCAGTAGTTAAAGAAATACAGAAAAATAGTTTCCGAAATAAAAAAATAAGTATCTTTCCATTTTCAGTAGTTTTTGGTTTTTGGCAAACTAAAATTTCATTTTATTGCAAAATACAGAATGTTTCAAAAAGGTATGTTATAAATTAAATCATGCATTCCAGAAAAAAAAAATAAATTGATTGAATATAACTTACCTTAATACAAAAGTGTACACAAAAAAAGTTACAGCCCTTTGAATTTACAAAATAAAAATTGTTGTTTTGCATTATCTTCCAAACTACTTGACATTTGGTAATAAAATGCTTGGCTTAAAAAATTTGGCTTAAATGAATTACAAGCACAAATAATGTTTATAATTTCTATAAATATGATATTACAATAAATGTTCAAAATGACCTCCATGTTTTTCAATACACATTTTTCTGACGAAATTGATTTGCAGTTTCAATTATTCTAACCCTCAATTGTTTTTCGTCCTCTACTGTTACACAATACACTTTCTATTTCATAAACCCCTAAAATCAAAAGTCCATGTGGTTAAAATCTGGACTCCTAGGTGGCCAAGAAATAGGTGCGTCACGACCCCTTTCAATCCAGCGACCAGGATACTGCCTGCAAAGGTATTCCCGGTCTTCATTACTATAATGTAATGAACGGCCATCTTGTAGAAACCACATATTTTACCTTTTTCCAAATACTCTTTTAAAACGTTTGCCAAGAACTGCAAATAATAAACACCATTTAAATTATTGGGAAAAAATACTGGGCCTATTAAATCCACAATTCCTGCCCAAACAAACTTTAAAAGTCCGTTGATGATGAGGGTTTTGTTTTTGGCGTGAGGATTTTCGTCGGCCCAAATGTGCTCGTTATGTTGAATTGTTATTCCATTTCTACTTAAGTAGCCTCATCGGTAAACAAAATATTTCTAATAAAATAAACAGTTCGAGTATTTTCCATTAGCAACCAGTTTTATAGTTTTCCATTAGCAAACAATAAAATCGTTTTAGGATTATCTTTAACCAATAACTCTTGAACCGTTGTTAAGTGATAGGGTTTAAGCAGCTGATCCTTCAAACGCCTCCAAATCCTTACGCGAGGAACATTTAGTTGAGTAGCTATTACCCTGTACTTGTTCCAGGGACTTCTTCAATGATTTCTAAAATGTCTTCATCGGTTGCATCTATTATTGGACGAGCCAGCAACTTGCCGTTGGAATGTACTCGTTTCCCGTAAACGACGATGAATGGTCAAAAATATTCGTCTATCGGCTGTATTTCGATTGGAGTATTTTGCTGCATAACACCTTGCGGCTGCTGCACTATTTCCTTGACATTCACGTACGATATTCCCGATAGTTTATTGAAATCATAATTTAATCTGATCCAACTTACCCAAAGTTAAATGCATATCTGCCATTTCCTGAAATGTGTAGGCCATTGTAATATCAAAATATTAATCTTATTCACACAATAAATGATAGCTTCAAATTATTGATTATTATTGATGGAACTGTTTGTAATTATTGTATCCGTAGAAACTAATTGTAATTTTATGGCCAACTAGGAAAAAACTAGTTTTTCGAAAAAGTGATAGGAGGCAAAAAAGTTTTAACAATAATGTGTTAAACTTGATGCCACAAGATTTATTTGATTTGAACGTACTCAGAAGTTTGGGGTGATTTAGTGCTGCATACTCCCCTTAAAATTTTTCTGTGCCCGTAGATTTTGTTGTTTCTTTTGTATGAAAAATGCTTTCAGAACAAGAAAGTAACGTGTCTTATGCCTTATGTTAATAGTATATTATAATGTTTTTATTAATTCTAATTTATTGTTCTCAATTTAATTTACTAAAGGTTCTGTTTATAACACTCACACATTTATTAAAGTCTTTATTTGTACTAATTTATTTTACAATTTATTACGAACGTACATTTCAATACGCGGGCCCGAATTTATCTTCTGACTAACTGTTGTTTCAAATAAAAATCCTGTATTTATACAAAATGTCGTCAGCATAGAATCTCTCTGAAGTAGACGGAAGTTGAGCTGAATAGTCTCGAATTGTTTTTTTTTATAGCTGCCTGTTTCTAGAAAGCTCGATTGACCGCTTTCATACCGGAGGTGGACTCATCGTGTCAGGTAGGTTTTACCTGGAATTTCTACCATCAGGTCAAATCTAGAACATATAAGAATTAAACAACATGTTTATAGATTTTTTTTTTAAATATGACTAATTTTTACGTAACAATATTAAGGAGGTTGTACTTTCGACTTATATTTTTGAACCAATATTATATACTACTATTTGGCGTATATAAGTACTTTACTGTATATATAGTATTTATTATACTATAAGTACTATATTACAAGAAGAGAAAGACATTGTACAAATGTTGTTCCTGTCATCAACTAATTTACCGCAAGCATTCAAGCCGACTGAATAAGAACTAGGTCACCGGTTAACAAGACCTCTAAAAACAAATCTTTTTTTGCTAAAATTTGTTTTGAATTGTTTAATAAAAAATTATAAATTTATTAAATATTCATACTATTCATTTAATTGTATACTTAAAATTTTTAAAGTGGTATTACAGTTCATCTAAATATGTGTATTTCACAAAAACTGCTGCCTAGTGAACCCAGATCAAGAGTACCATCTCTCCAAACTTCGTAAAATATTTAATCTACCAATATAATAATTATTACAATATTTTAATAATAAATAATTATTGAAAAATTATTTTAAAATGAATGTAAAATTTTCTAAAACATAGTGCAGAAATTTATAAATATTAAATAATTCTAATTAAACATTTCAGCAAACAGATGCGTCAATTCTTTGCATGTAAAACACCATATCTTTATCTATCTACTTTTAAATATTTGAAATGGTATCTCAAGTGATTTGCACAATACTATTAAAAAACCCAATTTATCAGTAAAGCTTCATAAGTTGGAAAACAATAATAAAAGTCGGTTGGTGCATGCCTTTAAAAAAAGTGTTTAAGCCATAATTTAAATTATATTTATTTGTTATCAACATATTTATAATATGTATACCGGTATTGTGAATATTTTTTTCCTTTCTTTAGGTAAGTTTTATCGAATAATACTGGATTATACTTATGCCATATATACCATATATGTGCCATAAAATTGGGCTAAACTTTTTGCTTTTTATGTTACCACCATTGTGTCAAAGAAATTTATAAAAATGTTAACAAAAAACAGACATACTGTTAATGCATAACTCTAATTTAACGCAATTACTCCAGGTCACGAAGAAAAAATAGACAAAATCATTACTTCTGAATTTTAATATGAAATTCCCCTAACTAATTTTAAAAGTTTCCGATATATTAAAATAAAAATAGTACACGCTAACATTTTTTTACATATAGTATTATAGTTTATTTTTATGAACGAGAGAGTCATTAGCATAATTTTAACTGGTACCTCCGACCACTCCATGGGCGTGCTCAAGATTAATTGAAAAATTACTTTGAATAATTGTAAAAAATACATGAATTATTTCAGTGTTATAAAGTGTTATGTGTATGTAAACAAAAGTGACCTCTTTTATCACACACTTTATTAGAACTGACTGGCCTACATTAAAAAGGGTTTTAAAAAATTCACATTTTTTTTTAATTTTTAAAAATTACAAAAGAGAAAAAGAGTTTTTAAAACCATCTAAGGTATGTTAAATAGATGAATAAAAATATTAATATAAATCTTACAGCTAGTTGTTACAAATCCAAATCAGATTCAGAAGATGAACTTTCAGAACCAAGATTTATAATAACTGGCTCGATCATTTTATCAGTAATATTGTCCAGCTTCCACATTTTTTCCTCTTCTTTAATAGTGTGATTTACTGCCTTTTCCCAGTTTTCAGGTTTTACATTATTTACGGCCTCCAAAAATAACTGTTTAACATCATGAATTTTAAAAGGGTATTTTTTCTTGAAACTTCACTCTTTATCTGTGCCCATACCAGTTCAATCGGGTTTAATTCACAATGATATGGTGGGGATCTAAGTACTGTCATTCCACAATTTTTGGCAATTTCATCAATTTCGTATTTTTTAAATTTTTCTTTATGAAGGGCACACAAAGAATAAAGTTCTTTTCTTATAGATCCGGGATGGTACGTAATATTTTTTGAACTCAGCCAATTCTGCAAGTCTTTTTTTTAACCACTTGGTTGTGGGCAGTCCTTCTATAAGTCTGGAGTGATAACTTGCATTATCCATTACTATTACACAGTTCTTAGGAAGAAGATCTATCATTTGTTCAAACCATTCTTGAAAGACATCAGCGTTCATGTCTTCATGGTAGTCACCGGTACGAGTTGATTCAAAAGTTAACAAACCACCTTCAACAAAACCGTCTGAACTGCCAATGTGTACTATTATCAGCCTGCGTCCCTTTCCTGATGGTGGGTTTAAACCAGTAGATAAGTTATTTACAAAAGCTTGCCTTTGATTTGTAATAGTTTCATCCTGCCCAAATTTATTTGGTGTATGACCCTCGTTGATCCATGTTTCGTCAAGATAAAATATTTTTCTTTTTTGGTTTCTCATTTCCTTTATGGTTCTTAGAAAATGTCTTCTCCATATGACAATATCGCTTCTTTCTAATAAAATAGACTTTCTGGGATTCTTTTTCCAGCGGAAGCCTATTTCTTTTAAAAGTTTCCATAACGTACTTCGACTCATTTCTGGGTAATCCTTATCATCTCGAACTGAGACAAGAACTTTATCCAATGTTGGAAATTCTTGTCTAAAGAAGAATTCATGCACTTTCCGTCGAAGTCCTTCTTTAAAATGATATTCTATTTGAAATTTTGGTTTCCCTGGAGCATTACGTGGCATTTGAAAACTACCACATTTCTCTTCTTTAATAACTCTGTAAACGTTTGTCTGTAAATGATTTAAAACAATTAAATATTAATGTTTTTTCATTAACTGTTAAAGGACCAATTTTTCGGCGTTTACACGGCACTTCCAAATTTTCCATAACACTAGTATACACAATAAACTGCACCTTGCAACTGAAGTACCTACTTTTAGTGAACTTTTAAGAATTTTGAATGCGCCACTTGGACCTTCCTACAAAATGGAAAAACCCACTATTACATTTTCTGTGGAATAACTTTAGAAGGTAATTATCTAGTCAATTACTGTCGTAGATTCCTGGAATTAAAGAATTAAATGTTTGATTGTTGAAACCCTTACTTCGTGGAATGCACTCATTTCAGATAAAATAAAACGTTTTATTTTATCTAAAGAATTAAACTTTATTTTGCAAATAGGTAGGTACTTCTTAAACTTTTATTGGTTATATATAACCAATAAAATAAACATCTTACATTTCTTACAAATTCATTAGTATCTGTTAACCTCCATCACTCCGACACTGGCAACCTTATTTAGGGATCAGTAACCCTCACAACTATTGTATTCTATTCTGCTCCAACCTTTATACCTGGTGGTCATACTCAATTTAAAATTGTTTTCCTATATACTTCTGTAAACTTGTTGACAAATATCTGTTTTTCATTGAGTCACTCGTATCAACATTTTAGGGATTTGCATACATAATTTATTGTTTTATTACTCTCTCATACATAAAAATACACTATAGTAGGATAATTAAAAAAGTGTTATAGGATTTAACATCAAACAATTTACTTTGTACATTAAAATAAAATCAAGATATACATTATATTATAGATATAAGATATAGATACAAGATTATATTTACAAACCACATTACGAAATAGTTAAGCTGAATATTACTAAATTATTTTCCAAAGTAAGTCCACCATTTTCTTTAATGCATTTATCAACACGTTCCATTTAAGCATTTCTGCTCTGTCTTACCTATAGCATTACATATGTAATGATTGTGCAGATTGACTACCATATAAATTTTTAACGGCGAAAGCGTATATAGAAGTATAACTTTTACCGGCAGTCCCACCGGACTGCCACACCCATTTGTACTCTATGTTTAGGACACTCAAAAGTTTTGAAAAAAAAAAACTACATTTTTGTCGAGTTAATCGAATTTATTTAAAATATTTCTTTAAAAATGTTTATATAAATTAATCGTTCTTTTAAATCTTATACTAAAATTTAAATTTTTTTCTACAGCCATAGTCACAGCATCTTCAAAAGAAGTATCACCAGATATCGTAGCAATACCTGGGGGTGCTAGTGGCAATGCAATAACTACCCGATACTGGGATTGTTGTGTTGTATCTTGCAGTTGGGATGCTAACGTTCATACAAGAAACGGAAAACCCGTTAAATCTTGTGAAAAAGATGGAGCAACCTATAGTACAAAGGAAAATAATGGAAATTCTGTTTGCTATCCTGACCATCCCGGAAATGCATACGTTTGTAACAATAATCAACCGTTCGTAGTTAACTCCACTCTTGCTTTTGGATTTGCTGGTGTATCTTTTCAAGGTATATATGTATAGTTTTATATAATGTATACAAACTAATATCCAAAATATTTATTAAAAGTACATAAACTAAAAACCGTAAAATGAACTTCTTAAAATTTATTATTACTGTTTAAAATTCAATTCGAAATCTATTTTCGAAATAAAAATAATAAATGGTTTACAATTTAAAAAGAAAACGTGAATTACAAAAGATTTTTATAAATAGTTTAATATGTGTGATTAATATAGGCAAATTATGAGAAACACTTAATTCTAAACAAATAAGGAGAAGAAAATTACACGCTTGGTTCAAGATCACAAAAATATTGCTAGGGAACCTTTCACAGAAAATATAACAAAAGTTTGGTTAAATATTTTATTATCAATTTTATTATCAGAGAATACGTTTATTTTTTTCGAATTTTGATGATGAATGGTTGCCTCGTTTTCGATGAGATTGCTGGATTTATCGTACAAAATACAAGTAAGGGCCTTACTAAGACCTTCTTTGTGATCCTATTCATTAGTGATATATAATACAATCATTAAAAGTGTAATACAGTAGTCTATTTATCTAATTAGCCATCTTCGGTCCATCTTTGGACATAGGCCTCCCCAATCCTTTTCCATTCTTCTCTGTCTCTCGCTACAGTCATCCACCTAGAGTCCACGTGCTTCTTGGTTTCATCTGCCTATCTCATTTGGGGCCTTTCTCTGCTTCGTTTGTATTACCACGGTCTCTAACTTATAAGAATTTTGTTCCATCGGTCTTCTTTTTGTCTTATATTGTGTCCGGCAAATCTTCATTTCAATTTTGCAACTTCTTGTCAAACATCTCTCACTTTTGTTTTCTCTCTTATTCACTGGTTTCTCTTTTTAGAGAAGAACAGGAAGTACGAATTGATTGTATACTTTGATCTTAAGATGCCGTGGATATCTTTTGTTTTTAAGAATGTAGCTTAGTTTGCCAAATGCTGCCCATGCCAGTCTAACTCGTCTTTTTATCTCTGCTGTTTGGTTTCCTTTGTTAAGTTTTTTAGTTTGACCCAGATATATAATCCTGCACTTGTTCTATTTCATCTTGTCCGATTCTCGTTGTGATGTGTTCATCTGTATTTGTTATGGTTTTGGTCTTGCTGTAATTCAGATTAAGGCCTATCTTTCCAGCTTATACTTCCAGTTCTTTCATCATTTCAAATAATTCTTCTTTTTTATCGGTTATCAATACGATGTTATCAACGTACCGTAGGTGGTTCAAGCATTATCCACAAATTTTTATACATTTTTCTTCCCATTCTAATCTTTTAAAAGTATCTTCAAGAGCCTGATTGAAAAGTTTTGGTAATATTGTATCACCTTGTCTCACGCCTCTATTTATTTGTATTGATTTTGTTCCTTCATACACTTTAATTGTTGTTTTGACTTCCTTATATATATTGGCTATTAGTTCCGTATATCTGTGGTCAATTCTGTTGTTAATCAAAGAACTTTTCACTGTCCAATGTTCGACATTGTCAAAAGCCTTTTCAAAATCTATGAACGCCATATATAGATGAATGTGGTATTGATTTGCTAGTCCTATAAGTATTTTCATACTTAGTTAATGGTCATTTGTGCTGAATCCCTTTCTAAAACCAGCTTGTTCATTCGACTGGTATCCATCGAATTTTGTCGTCAATCTGTTGGTTAAAATTTTTATTAGGAGTTTATAAATTATATTGAGGAGTGTTATAGGACGGTAGTTTTTTATATCTGCTTTATCCCCTTTCTTGTGTAGGGTAATGGTTGCTAATTCCTTTCAGTTATTTGGAATTTTTTTAAATATATTCTTAAAAAAGGAATGTAGAGAATTAATTACCACTTTTCCACCATATTTCAGCATCTCTGCACATATTCCATCTTTTCCAGGCGATTTGTTGTTTTTCATTTCTTTCAATGCCTTCTTTATTTCTGATTTGCTTATTTTTGGTTGTAGTTTTCAGTTGCCATTTTTTATTCTAATCTCAGGTTGGATTTTAATTTCTTCTTGTGGTTCCTTTTTTGTTTTATATAATTCTGAGTAGAAATGGTCGATTATATTTATGATGTCATCTTTAACGTTTATTTATACTCCATTTATACCTTTTATTTTGTTTATTTCAATCTTATCTAATTTCGGCCTTAAGCATATCATATTCTTGTTGTTCTGTATTACTTCTTATTTTGATATTTTGTTCTTATTTTACTATCTTTATTTCTTGTTCTTTTCTCTAATTTTCATTTATCATTCAGCTTATTGTTTTATTGATTTCTACATATTCTATAGATTTCCTTTTGCCTTCTTCATTCAGCTTCCTTCTTCTATTCATAAGCTTCTTTGTTTCTGTTGAACAGAATACAGTAGTAAAGTATGGCAAATAAAAGAAACATACAAGACAAAACTTGAGGCAACTGAAAAGGATTTCTGGAGACGTTCAGCTGGAAAATCTAGACAAGAAAGAGTAACGAACAACAGAATAAGAGAAATTATGAAAGTGACACGTACAATAGTAGACGATATTGATACCCAACAACTCAGATGGTACGGTCATGTACAGAGAATGTCTTAAGAACGGGAAGACCCCGTTTTAGTTGGAGAGAAGGCATCGATAGAGAAATTAAAGACAGAGACATAAAAGAAGACTTATGGATGAATCGAGAGGAGTGGCAACGGGGTACCGTAAGACGTAGAAGAATGCTTTAAACCAATCTATATATATTAAGAAGATGTAGACTTATATTTTCAACTGAACTTGTTATAACTGCTTACTTATTAAAAGCTTGTAAGTACTCATGCAAGGATACACGAGCTTAGATATACTCAACCTTATGTAAAATAAAAGCAAACTTTAAGAGTAATAGAAATTCAAAATAAATATAGACGGCTGCTTAATAGAAATTCGATTATAACTGAATTTTTTTTAAGTTTTTTAACATTTTAAAATAAATATATATCTTATGTTTACTTAGGTGGTGCTGACGTTGAACATTGTTGCCATTGTTACCTTTTGAGTTTTAAAGGTCAACTTCAAGGCAAACAGATGTTGGTTCAAACCATTAACACAGGAGCTGATGCTGTTGCCCATCATTTCGATTTACAAATTCCCGGTGGAGGAGTTGGTTACAATACACAAGGTTGTCGGATTCAGTGGAATGCTCCTGAGAATGGATGGGGTGAGCGTTATGGTGGAGTTACGTCCGAGCAACAATGTAATGAATTACCATGGCAACTACAGGCAGGTTGTAGATTTAGATTCGAATTCATGGAAGGAGTTTCGAATCCAGACGTTACTTTCCAGGAAGTTCAATGTCCATCACAATTGGTAGCTCTCAGCGATTGCGGAGATCTTTAGAAAATTGTACATTTGATTTGATTTTATTGTAGAAATATACTAAAAAATGTTAACTGTTTTATTTTTTTTATTGATTTTTATTGAATCACTAATGCCTAGGAAGGTAATTGCCATATTATATCATACAGTAAATAAAACAATACTCAGAAAAAAAAAGTCCAAACATTTATGACAATGAACATTGATAAAATTAAAGGCAGATAACGAGCACAATTTTATTAATTAAATCTTGCCCAAGTACTTTCGCTTGCTAAAGCATCATCAGGGGTATTTGAAATATTCCAAGAAATGTTTTTTTAAATGAAGAAATTAATTAACTTCGATAAAAAAACTCAAAGTTAATGGATGATAAAAGTTTTTGTGATTAATGTTTTAGACTTACTTCGTCAGTTTTGGGCTATCCAACAAACGCAGAATGTGATAAACATGACATTAAACATAAAATTGTACGAACACAATCATAGAAATGTGATCTGCATATATTAAAATTCTATGTAAGTAAGTATTGACCAAAGGTCCAACCGACATTACTGTAGGAATAAAAAGATAAGAACTGATAAAATATGACATATAGAATATTGTAATTTAACTAGATTGCATAATCCAGATCTCATACTTACACCTGTCTATAATAATTAGGTGGTTAGTTTGAGAGCAAATGAAGTGGACATAAAGTGTGAATGCAAGAAACAGACTAAACAATATATTTGACAGTGGATGGTTGATTACAATAAAATGGTGTACCAGGCACTATCAATAATGTAAAATAGAGAAGAAATCTGACTATGCAATTAAAATATTAAAAATTAAAAACAAAATTAAAAGCAGTGTATAAATGGGGTATAATTCAAGTAGTACAGTTAAATCTTCAGTCAATGGGAGAACAATAAAACTAATGTTACGAACGTGCATTCAACGAGGCACGTATAACGGTTGCATCTCAAAACAGCACCTTATGCTTCCATGCGGCGACATCTCGAAAGCGACTCGATATTTCGAGAAACATCAGTCACGTACGCCTAGAGGTGGGAACTTTCTAGAAAATAGTAACTTTGGTATATATATGTAACGATCTTAGGAATAAGTTTAGTTGATAAGAGAGTACCGAACTGGAAAGTTATAAATAAAGATATTTATATAAATTCTAACCGCTCGTTTTATTTAATCACGCTACAGTTGGTGTCAGGTGTGGGGTTCGAACCCACGCTCCCTCTCGGGAACCAGAGAGAAACTATTGAGTTACCAGGAGAGAATTGCTAGGCGTAGTAAAGGCTTGCGAGCATTTCCATAAATATTTATACGGCTGAAAGTTTCTTCTTCGCACGGATCACGCTGCTCTAAAATGGCTCCTACAATTCCGTAATCCAGAGGGCCAGATGGCAAGATGGTTAGAACGATTACAAGAATATTATTACGAGATCGAACACAGGGCTGGAAGAGTTCATTTAAATGCTGATGCGCTTTCGAGAAGACCGTGCAGTGAACATTGTAATCACTGTCTTAAATTAGAAGAAAGACTTTGCCCCGTGAGACGAACCACCGTCATTAATGATCAATGGCAGCCTCAACAGCTACAAGACGCTTAAGCAGATGATCCATGTATAAAAAGAGTATTGGATTGGATGCGTCGAAGTGAAAGGCCCTCTTGGCAAGACATTAGTGCATGTAGTCCTGAAGTCAAGTGTTACTGGAGCCAATGGAATTGCCTAGTGTTAAAAGATGATCTTCTTTATAGAACCTTTGAGAACGATGATGGTACAGAATCTAAGCTTCAGTTGATTGTACCTAAAAGTAAGGTGTCAGAAGTATTGCGTCAGTTACATGACGGTGCATCAGGTGGACACTTTGGTATTACGAAGACCCTGCAAAAGGTTCGGGAACGGTTCTATTGGGTGAACTGTAAAGATGATGTAAGAAGATGGTGCCGGAAATGTGAACTGTGTGCAACCAGTAATGGTCCAGTTGGTAAAAAGAGGGCACCCATGAAACAGTACAATGTCGGTAGTCCTATGAAAAGAGTAGCAATCGACATTGCAGGTTCACTTCCAGAGACAAACGATGGAAATAAATATATCCTGGTAGCCATTAATTATTTTACAAAATGGACTGAGGCCTATGTGATACCAAATCAGGAAGCTGCTACCGTTGCAGAGGTACTTGTTAAAGAATTCTTTAGCCGATTTGGTGCTCCCTTGGAGATCCACTCCGACCAAGGGCGAAACTTCGAGTCAAACCTTTTCCAAAACGTTTGTAAATTGATTGGTGTCAATAAGACCAGAACGACACCCCTGCATCCTCAATCAGATGGAATGGTCGAGAGAATGAACCGAACGATTGGGTAAACACCTGTCCAAAGTTGTATCAGAACATCAAAGAGATTGGGACCAGCACATGCATTTATTCCTAATGGCCTACCGCTCAGCCGTGAATGAAACTACCGGCCAGACTCCAACCTGCCTGATGTTAGGTCGTGAAGTTCGTTTGTCCTGCGACCTAGAGTTTGGCTCCAGACCGTCCGAAGAACATGTTGCAAGCGAAGATTATGTCGACCGCCTGAAGTTAAGAATGAACAACATTCATGAACTTGCCCGACAACACATCCAGTTAGCCAGTGACATAATGAAAGATCAATATGATTCTCGATGCAAGAATGAAAGCTATGAAGTAGGTGATCTTGTTTGGCTTTATAATTCACAACGTCGTCGTGGCTTGTCTCCTAAACTGCAAAGACAATGGGAGGGTCCGTATGAAATTAAAAAGAGAATAAATGACGTAATATACCGAATTAAAAAGTTACCGAAAGGTAAACCAAAAGTAGTTAACATAAATCGTCTTGCACCTTATGCTGGCTCAAATGAAACAGAAGAAGCACGAATCCTTCAACATGAGATCGAAGATGACCGGCGACCAAGCTTTAATGAATTTATGTACAATTACGCAGAGAGAAAGAGTGCTAGATTCGGCGTGACGACAGAAGTTCAGCAGGATCTTTTTAGTGTTCCGCATAACGTCACTCTAGCCCACTGTGTTGCCCAAGATCTTGAGATGACTAAAGAAATCTAATCCGTATTTTATAAGAAGTTCGGTCGTTTGGACGAGTTAAAAAACCAGCAGCCTAAAGTTGGAAGAGTACTGAGATTAGAAGATGGTTCTCGATCTTTGCTGTATATGGTGACCAGGAAGTTGTATACAGACAGGGCAACCTACGAGGATATATGGTGTGCTCTCACTAATTTGAAGAAAATCGTCTGAAATTACGACATTAAGAATTTGGCCTTACCCAAGATAGGCCATGCACTAGATAATCTGGATTGGAAGATTGTCAGAAGCATGCTAGAAGTGATCTTTCGAGAAACCGGTGTAAGAATTACCGTGTGTTGCACTAATCCAAAGAGATTGTGTCCTTCAAAGACAGTAGACTGTTATTTCTTTCTGAGGGGTTCATGCAGAGCTGGAGAGTCCTGTAGATTCTGCCATCCTGGGCCTACATACAGAGTTGCTGATCGGGACGCTCAGATCTAAGAGGGGAGCAGTGTTACGAACGTGCATTCAATGAGGCACGTATAACGGTTGCATCTCGAAACAGCACCTCATGCTTCCATGCGGCGGCATCTCGAAAGCGACTCGATATTTCGAGAAACATCAGTCACGTACGCCTAGAGGAGGGAACTTTCTAGAAAATAGTAACTTTGGTATATATAATGTAACGATCTTAAGAATAAGTTTAGTTGATAAGAGAGTACCGAACTGGAAATTTATAAATAAATATATTTATATAAATTCGAACCGCTCGTTTTATTTAATCACGCTACACTAATATGTAAAAGCTACATTAGAAAGCGAAACGTCTTCAATAAATAGATGAAGTAGCCACCTTCTTTGTCTTTTTTCTCTCCACTTTTTGACCGAAAAACCCACCAAATCGAATGATCCTTAATTTATAATGGATTACGGTCGTACTCCTTTTCTTAATATATATATATATATATATATATATATATATATATATATATATATATATATATATATATATATATATATATTTATATATATATATATATTTATATATATATATATATATATATATATATATATATGCTTTATTTATTAGTTACACTATTAAGGTGGTGTAATCAAGAGTAGTAGCGTCGAAGTAATGAATCTAATGGACCGTAAATTTTACCCTTGCAACAACTTTACCTTTATCTGGTATTTTATAAGGTAAACATTTCACACGTCCTGATTCTCAAAACTTCCATTAACAGATGATTGAAACTTTCAAATTATTTAACCTTACACTCTGATCCCAAAAGTTTAAGTTTAGATTGAACCTTCGACTACCTACCTCTGTTTGTATTACTTCCAAAAGATAATGGGTATTGTACTTTGATTTTAGGAGGGGTTTTGAAACTTTTTGTAGCTTAAGTTTCCATAGTTTATTTATAATTTAGTATACATTTGGAAATTTGAAATTTTACTGTAGTACATTAACATTATTGTATGCAATTTTTTCTTGTTAAAGTCACATTAGTTTTTTTTAACTTTTCGTTACCACCTAATGATACCCCATATTGGATTCACAAAAAAGATCAATGTTAATTACTTAAAAAAATAGTCTAGAAACGATATATTTTCATATCTAATGTAATATCAGAAACTGTACAGAAAATTTATAGGATATAATTACCCAAGAAATACAGGGTGATTCTTTGAGCCTTTTAATTAGACGTTTAAAGAAACGTTTAATGTAAGAAGATATTATAAGATAAGATAATATTAAAAACAAGAATAAACAGTGAGTCGAGTTCAGTGTCTCCTTAGCCTCCTCCTCAGTGTCGAGTGACTCGACACCGAGGAGTAGGCAGATTTAGACCTCAGTGCCGAGAGACAGTTCTTGTATTTATAATACAGAACACGATACTGGTACGTTTCGAGTGAGGGGAGTAGGCAGATTGAGACCCCGAACTCGAACCGAACCGTATCCCTCTTGATAATGGCTCCAAAATTGGGTCACTCGATACTGAGGAGTAGGTAGATTGAGACCTTAGTGCCGAGAGACAGTTCTTGT